CCTCAGGAGATCTGAAAGACTGGGGTAATGGTGGGCATAGTTCAATGGTGATTAATTTTATAAAACAGAATGAATGGGAATGACTGTGTGAAACAAACACAATGAATTGGAATGATTGTGTGAAACAGAATGTGAATGAAGCATAGTGTGAAACACAATGTATATGAATTTTGTATGCACTCCAATATAAAATAAAATTTTAAAAAAACTAAAGCAGCAATTCTGATCTACTGTTAAAAGGAAAATTATTAGCTCTCTAGCTTGAGTGTCTTCTCAATAACTTACATGTCCTTTGAAGGGAAGCAGGGGGGAAATATATGCAGAAAACTGAAATACGTGTATTATTGTTAATCCAGGAGGCTTACTTCTTAGAGAATATAGTTTACAAAAAATGATAGGTAAAGGGAATGACTATAGGACCATGAAGTTCTATTCAGGAAAAACAGAGTGCTAATCTATTATTGCCCAAAACTAGTCCCCACTCCCAACCATAGATACCTGTCAGCACATAGGTGGAGTGAGGCTGCAATACTCAACCACTGACATTTGCTCTAGGGCCCAGCTGGTAGTCATTCAATAAGAAGACATGAAGTAAGAGGCTATCTTGGTGTGGGGGAGGCAAAGTATGTAGAACTTGCTCCTTTGTAGAACTGACTCAAAGGTCATCATTGTCTTACATTCTCTCATTCTTTGTTTTGTAAATGTGTCCTTTTCCTCAATTTATGTAAGCTTCAAGGCCCCAGGACACACTCCTCCTAGGACTCTGGTGATCTCATAATATGTATTAAAAAACTATCCAGATCAAAGAACTCAAACCAAGACACTCATGAGTGCCTAGGAATTTCTGAGAATTAGGGACAAATAGACAAATAAGACATAGTCTCTACTCCTTTAGAAGCACACAAATTTTAGGTAAGAAAAACAAAACACAAAACAAATAATTTTGCTTTAATGGGCATAAAGTTACCATAAGGTAAGAGATAAGAGTCAGAAAGAAGAATGAGGACATTTTCTCTCCTATCAGTTTGGCCTGTATTTGGGACTAAACTAGGAACCAGGATACACACTTCCATCCTTAATCATGGCTGCTGATGCTAAAATCTGAAAGAATGGCTTACTTCAACAAGTTAATGGTATGGATTAAAGAAGAGAATAGAGATACTTACCTGGCAGGGGAGATACCATGATCAAGAAGATGGTTTCCGCAGGGCGAAGCTTATTCATTGCACTCCGGATGTGCTGACCCCTGCTATTTCCCTAAATGTGGAAAACTCCATTGTTTAATTTGTAGGAGTGGGAAACTGTGTTCATGTTTGCCCTGGGGAGGTGGGGAAGAATAGAAAGAGGTAATGGTTCTACATTAAAGGCAAAATAAGGTATTTGCCAGAAAGATGAAACCTGATTCTGATCTGGTTTTTAATTCAGTTGCCAATCTGTGCAGAAGATAGAGGAACATGCTGAACAGCATCATAAGGATACAATAAGCAAAATTCAGATTATGGAAACTACAGCTCAAATGCCCTAATTTCTTCAAGAGATAAATCCTGACGAAAAGGCTGAGATGGGGGGAATTAATTTGTAAATTAAAACAGGCTCAAACTCTGCTTTGGAACAATTTCAGTGGATGAAAAGTATACCAGGAAGCTTCAATGGATAAGAAAATAACCATGTATTTTGTAGATACCGACTAAAACTCTTAAAAATTCTTGGCAGGAGGTCATGAAAGATAAAAAAAGACCAAAACACTCACAGATTGGAATGCAATATGAGATGATTGACTGCAATATGGAGATTCTAATGGAATCTTGGAGCAGAAAATGGTGAAAATTAGCTAAAAAACTGGTGTACTCTGATTAAAGTCTGGAATTTAGTTAATGGTACTTTTGGTTTCTTAGTTGTTTTCTATATAAGCTATGGCTAAATAAGATGTTAGTATGAGGGGAAGCTGAGTGAAGGGTATAGGGAATACTCTACAATATCATTTCAATACTTCTATAAAGCGAAAACTACTCCAAAATAAAGTTATAGAAAGAGAATTTGCAACACCATAAATGAACCTTGAAAACGTTATACTAAATGAAAGAATTCCAAAACAATAGCATGATTCTATTGACATGAACTATCTAAATTAGGCAAATGCAAAGGGACAGAATATAGATTAGAGGTTACCAGAAACTGAGGGAAGGAGGAAATGAGTTATTGCTTAATATGTGTATAGAGTGTCTATTAGGGTGATGAAAAAAATTTTGGAAATAGATTGTGGTGATAGTTGCACAACATTGTGAATGTAATTAATAACACTGAATTGTATTCTTTTAAATGGTTAAAACGAAAATATATATATTTGTTAGTAGGTGCTGTGAAATAGACCCCAGTTTATAGTAACCTTATGTATGACAGATTGGAACCTTGCCCTGTCCTACACTCTCCTCACAGTCTCCCTGGTGCTTAAGTTCATTTTTGCAGTCATCATGTCAATTCATCTTTTTGAGGGTCTTCCCCACTTTTGTCATTCTTTCACCTTTCTAAGCATGATGTCTCTTTTCTTAGGACTGCCCTCTTCTCACTAATGCAATTGCTTTATATACATGTGAAATTTGGAATATATATCTGCACCTATATAAAAATCATGTTCAAAATCCGTAGCTCTAAGAGAGATGCAAATCAAAACAACTATGAGATACATCTCACCCCAGTCAGAATAGCAAAATTTAACAGAACAGCAAGCAACAAATTCTGGCGAGGTTGTGGAGAAACCGGAACCCTTATTCACTGTTGGTGGGAATGTAAAATGGTGCAACCGTTGTGGAAGGTGGTATGGCACTTTCTCAAAAAGTTGCAAATAGAGATACCATTTGACCCAGCAATTCCACTACTGGGAATATATCCCAAAGAGACCATAACTGACATCCAAGCAGATATATGCACACCCATGTTTATCGCAGCTCTGTTCACCAATAGCAAGGAGTTGGAAACAACCCAGATGCCCATCAACAAACGAATGGATAGAGAAGCTGTGGTATATTCACACAATGGAGTGCTATGCTGCATTGAAAAACAAGGAACTCATTCAATATTATTCAAAATGGGTGAGCCTGGAGGACATTATGCTGAGTGAAATATCTCAGCCGCAAAAGGACAAATATTGCATGGTGCCACTGCTGTAAAATGGGACTGATATCAGGGTGGGGGTAAGACTGAGAAAAACTGGATAAATTGTGTATACTACACTGAAAACAGATGAGGGACTGAATAATTTAAAAGCGATGTATGATAGGGTATTATGGTTATCACAAGAGTCCACAATTAAGGTTGCATAGTGGAATGTACTTGGGGCAGTGGGAGAGGTGTGGGGGGATTGTGTACCAGGGAGGGAGTCTTTCTTTTACTTTTGAAAGAGAGGAGCGAACTGGGGGGCGGGGGGAGAGGGCTGGGCGGGGAGACAAGTGCAGCAATGAATGAGTGGAAATCCAAATTCTCTGTAAATGTTCATTAAAATTATTCAGAAAAAAAAATCATTTTATTGTGTTGTTGTTATGTATTGTCGAGACAGGATTGACTCATAGCTGACCCTCAAGTACGTTTTCAGAGACAGGATAGTTACATAGGAGGAGATTGTCCATCTTTCTCCCATGGAGCAGCTGGTGGGTTTGAATCATGGCAGCACAGCTCTCCATAATAACATTTTAAAAAAGAGAAATTTAAAAGACATATCAATTTTTTTAATGAGCAAGACTAAAATAATAGTGAGAGAGCTCTGGTGGCCTAATAGTAAGGAGTTTTACTGATCCACTAGCTGCTCTATCAGAGAGACGGGTAATCCCCTCCCATCCAATTAACTGCCTCTGAAAATCCCCTGGAGGGTCAGCTATGGATTGGTTCCAATTGGATGGTACACAACAACAACAAATCAGTCATTAGATAATTACATTTGGCAAATAAAATATTAAAGAAATGTAAGGAAGACATAATTACACATAGAGAATAATGGTTATATTAGTATAAAAAAAAGAGGGTTATTATCTGAAATGGGCACCTGAAGTTTCTGAGATGTCTGGAAAAGTTCTCTTTCTTAACTTGGTACTTGGTTACAAGGTATTTGATTTATAACAATTCATTTAACAATAGATTTACTTTACATAGTTTTCTGTCTCTTATGTTACAGTGGAAAAATTAAAAAGGAAGATATACATCTAACAGGAATAACATCTAATCAATCAGTGGGTTTCGTTGGAATCCTGACCAGATAAGTAAACTATAAAAAGGCATTTAAATATAGATTAGGTATTAAATATTATTGTATAATTATTCAATTTCTGACAGATAACAGTAGCGTTGTAGTTAAGTAAGAAAATGTCCACATTTTTTGGGAGATGCACAGGGAGGTGTTCAGGATTGAAATGACATGATGTCTTAGAATTGTTAAAAATATTTCAAGAGTGGGAAGGCTAGGAAGAAAGATAATATGACAAAACATTAATAGTTGCTTAAGATAAATGACTGTCCATAAAAATGTTTCATATTCTCTAGTTTTATATATGCTTAGAAATTTTTATAATAGAAAACTTTAAAAGGCTCTTGAGCAATAAATTTCAAATCAGAGACCTAATCTGAGACATTCCTTATCCCACCAACACATTGCAACTCTCTTCCCACCGCCCACCTATCTAAGGCCACAACTCTGAGGTCTCCAAATGGCCTGTGAGAAGCATTTTTCCTCTCTGTGTTTCTGGGTCCCTAGTGCTGAATGGCAGTCATTCTCACCTCTCTCTATTCTGATGTCCTAATTCCAAGAAAGAGAGTCAAAGGGAAAGTGGGTTTGGCCTAAGGATCAAATCTGATGAGAAAGTCCTGGGCACACCAGAGCCTGCCCTTGGCTGTGGGTGGTTCTGGGAAAGGACAAGGAGGAGAGAGAGCAGGTAAAAACTGTTCTTAGTCACATATATTCACTACTGAGTAAGCTTCCAGAGGCTTGTGGCACCTTTGGTTGGGACACTGGTCTGGGACTTTATCTCTCTCAGGCCCCTGGATACCATGCCTTGCTCCAAGCAACCTAATCACTTTCAGAGTCTGATGCTTCTGCAGTGGCCCTTGAGCTACCTGGCCATATGTGAGTATCTATTGGAAAATTAACAGCAAAAAAATCAGAGTCAAAGGCTACAGCTAGGCCTTTGATCATCTAAGATGGTGTGTGTTGTGTTGTGGTGTATACTATCGAGTCAAAACTGACTCATAGCTGGCCCTTGAACAGCTTTTCAGAGGCTGTAAATCACACAGGAACAGAATGCTCATAGAGTGATGTTAAATAATCTTGAGATCCAGTAGTGTCTGGGGGAAGAAAGGAATAGAGTCCCAAGGGACAGTAGCAACAGACAGGATGATGAAACAGAGTTTTATGACGGATATGAGTATCTTACTTTTAAGAAAGGAATATGCATCTTCTACTTTTGTTTGCCAATAGCTCTCTCTCACCCCATAGATATTTCTTTAAATGTGCTATGTAATATTTTTTACAGCAGCATGTAAAATACATGGTAGATCTAGTTAATTTCAGATATTTCATAGCTAGAGAGAGAAAATGAGAACAAGGAATGAGCATGATCTGTTTACAAGAAAGCATTGAGACCAAGATTAAAGAATCACTAGTATTACAGACTTAGAGAAGTATTTCTTGTGTTTGAATCATATAATTTTCCAATCTAAAAGGAAAGAAAATTGGAGAAATAGACACAATGAAAGAAATGGACAATAAGCAAGAAGAGCTGGGAAATAGTAGAGGGATAGGATGCTGAGTAGGTAGGGTATAAAGAAGTATGGATACATAAGTACATAAGAAAAGGACTTATCTAAGGAGTTCAGGAGTGATGCATAGGGAAGAGAACAAGAGGATGGGAAATCTGAGAGGAAAAAAATTAAAATGAGAGCAAGGGGAAAGGGCTAGTAGCAGGAAGAAGACAGGAATAGAAGGATGCTACGAGGATAGGAAGGAAGGTAGGCAGAAATTGCTGGTAAGTAGAGAAATAGGATTGGCATATGGTAAATAATAGAAGGAATATTTTAAGGACAATCCATGGATGATGGATGGGCAAAAGTCTGTGCAGAATTTCAGAAACAGAGGTCTGGGACTGGACATGGTGAAGTTTTTCTGGGAGCACAAATTTGGACTGATTTGTCCCATTGTCAGTTTGGATCTTGCAGCCATTGTTTATTTACTTGCTGTTTACATCCTTGTGGCCACTACCAGCCCTTTACTTTGCCTGGTTGTTCCTGGATTGGAAGACCCCAGAACAAGGTAAGACTCATGAACCTAGACAGAATAAGGCCTAAGAATTTTCTACTTTACCTCATTGTGCCACAAGCCTCTCACCCGGTTCTCAGAGCCACAGGAGTTGGGTCAGTCAAGAAGGATCATTCTGGAATCTCTATCTTCTCCACTCCTCTAGCAGATCCGTGTTTACTCCATGCTGCTAAGGAAGCAATGGGTGAGTGGGAAGTATGAAGAGGCACACTGACATCATCCCTTACAGGTATTTCTGTCTCAGGTGGCAGACGTTCAGCCTGGGTACGAAATTGGTGTGTCTGGACCTACATCAGGGACTATTTTCCCATTACGGTAAAAATCTCTTTCCTAGTGTTCTTCACAGTTCCAAAAAAAATGACTAAAACTGTCCATAAGAAAGACAAACATCCCAAAGAAGTCTGAGTCTAGACTAGATCCAACATTTCTCCTGGGTACTCTAAGATAATTTAAATATCTTCAGCATGGCATGCAATATTCCACAGGCAGAACACAATATAGTTCAGTTTAATAAACATTGAAAGATAACTCTGTTTCACATGTTTATGGTATAGACATTGAGCAGGATGTGATCTTCTAACATGAAGGAGTTAGTATTTCATAAGGAGGACAAACAAGTATATAATTATGGATTGGTACAAGATATGGAGTGCTTATGATGAAGATCTAATGAATTCTTTCCAGAGGATGAAGAATTGCTAAGACAGAGTGATATACAAATAAAACTTTCAATGCTTAAGAAAAACTACTGAGGTAGGCTTTGGAAGAGGCTTAGAGAAGAAAAAAGTATCAGAAAGAGGTTCTCTGAAGTGTTTTCAATCTTGCTTTCCCATAAGATCTCATTCCACCGCTGCTAACATTTCTCTCTGTGACTGCAGATGCTGAAGACTAAAGACTTATCACCTGAGCACAACTATCTCATGGGTGTTCACCCCCACGGACTCTTGACCTTTGGTGCCTTCTGCAACTTCTGTACTGAGGCTACAGATTTCTCGAAGATCTTCCCAGGCATAACTCCTCATTTGGCAACATTATCATGGTTCTTCAAGATTCCCCTTATTAGAGATTATCTTATGGCCAAAGGTGCTTCTGACATCTGGAATTTTTGTCTAGTTCTTTGCTTTAAAAATGCATTTTATAAGCCAAATTCCTTATCCCCTCACTCCTTAGTATATCAAAGTAGTTAAAAGCATAAATTCTGGATCTAATTCGCCAATGTTTGACTCTTGGCCCTGCTACTTACTGTGTGGACCAGTTATCTAATTTCTATTTGCCTCTGTTCCATCATCTATAAAGTTGTACAGATAATAAAATTCCAATCTCAGATGTCCACAAAGTGACTTGCTGTGATAAGCATTCATTATAGTGCTTGTCACAAAATATGTGCTCAGCAAAAAGTAGATATTGCATTTAATGGCAATAGAGGAAAATTACAGTTTGTAATTCAGAGTCATTCTGGTTATCCCTCTGAAAAATCTCCCTATTGTAGTTTCTACTCAATGCCTCTTGCACAGTAAATATACGACCTTAAAAAGTGAAACTTTTAATTTAGTTTCCCCGTAGTCTTCTCATCTCCACACTCGTTAGTCACATCTCATGAAAACAAGTTAGTGAAGAGAATGAAGGAAAGTATGCCTTCCCAGCTGTTTTCTCATCTCCTGCTCATTTCTCTTCTTTCTCTGCTTTATAATTTAGGTGTGTGCTCCGTGAGTCAGCCAGCCATTGACTATCTACTGAGCCACGGCCCTGGCAACCTCGTTGGCATTGTAGTGGGAGGTGTGGGAGAGGCTCTGCAAAGTGTTCCCAACACCACCAACCTCATCCTCCAGAAGCGAAAGGGGTTTGTACGTACAGCCCTCCAGCATGGGTAGGTGTTCCTTCCAGGGAAGAATTATGTGGCATTCTTTGAAGAAAATTGCCCTGAAGGTGATACCAAGATGAGAGATAGGTGCAAAATTTTTTAAAGTTTTAGGTTACTAATTCCTTCTGAGTTAGTTGGACCAGTTCCCAGGAAGCCAAATCATAAACCAAGTTTAACATTGAGGATTTGGGCTAGCACTGCACTAGCATGTAAATGATATCAACATTATCTCAACTGATACTAACATCTATATCTATATATTAATGGTAAGTGCAAGAGATTAGTATAGTATAGCATAGCATAACATGGCATGGCATGGCATAGCATAGTGATTAGAATCTGGGGTCAGGGCCCTGATCTTGACTCTTTATTCCATTTCTTGCCATGTACTTTGAGATAGGTTACTTAACCATTTTGTGAATTGATAGTTTCATCTTTATTACATTAAAAACTCAAACTCATTGTCATCATGTTGGAACCAACTCATAGCTGATGCCCCAGTGTGTATTCAGGAGGCTGTAAATTGCAAGAGAAGAGATTGCCTTCTGCAGAGTCACTAGTGGAGTAGAAATGCCAGAGAGACAACACCTTGGGATTAGCAGCCTAATTGTCTATGAACTCCACCCTCATTTTAAAAAAAAAGTCTTTGCAATCAAGTCAGAACTGACTTGTAAGTCACCATTCCAGCAGGTTTTCAGAAACTAGAAATTGCACATAGATACTGAAAATTGTACTCTCTTTATATGACTCCTGTAGGGCTTAAAATTATTCATCAACATAAAACACTTATTATGCCTGGAATACAGTAAAAGATCAATAGATGACTACTCTGACTTAAGGATAAAAAGGAAAGGTAAAGAGCAAGAGGAGCCTGAGGATGTAGTTGTGTGATGCTCCATATGGTCAGTCAGCTCCCTGGACCCAGGGTCAATTGTTCTAACGCATACTCAGAGAAGAGGGAAATGTTTCTTCTAATGACCTTGCTTGAGTGGCTTATTTATTAGTTGGAGCATAATGTAGAAAGAGCTAAGTGGAGAGGAACAAGTAATGGGTTCTAGTACAGATTCAACTATTCTCTGATTGCCTGTGTAATCTTGCCCCTCTGAAACTGGACTTCCTAATCTATAAGATAAAGAAAGCAATCTTCCACGGAGTCCTTCACTGTCTTTGTTGTGCAGAGCTAGTAAAGTAATGTGTCAACGAGCTGAGAGATTGTTACTCATAATTCTGTGTTCTCTTCAATTCTCTCTCATGGGAAAACTTAAGGAGTCTGTCCATCAAGGGCATAGCCAGGGTAAATTCTCATGATCTGTTAAGGGAAACAACTTTTCTCTGCTCTTCTCCCACAATCCAAGGACAGAGTACCTTATACATCGATTGATTGTTGTTATTGTGTCCCACCAAGTCGGAACCAACTCATAGTTGACCCTCCAGCAGGTTTTCAGAGGCAGTTAATTGCAGGGAGGAAATTTTGCACTACCTTTTCCCCTGGAGCAGCTGGTGGATTCGAGCCACGTGCCTTTGAGGTTGCAGCACAGCTTCTTACCACTAGGCTACCAATGCTCCTTATGCAATGAATGTTGTTATTGTGTGTTACCAAGTTGAAACCAACCCATAGCTCACCCTCCAGTGAGTTTTCTGAGGCAATAAATCTCAAGGGAATTGATTGCCCATATTTCTCCCCCAGGGCAGGTGGTGAATTAGAACGAACAGCATCTCTTTGTGTTGGCAGCGTCATTCCTTACCACTAAGCCTCCCAAAGTTAGGGTATATCATATATGCATCTAAACAAAAGTGTATCTTCATCTTTTATGTACTTCCTACTGATAGAAAAAAAGGTGAAATATCCTCTCCTTGAAACTTGTTATGTGCTGTAGAGTTTGAACTAACTCAACTAACACTCCAGTGGGTTTTTAGAGGCTGTAAATAACAAGGGAGGAGATTTCCCGCCATTCTCCCATAGAGCACCTGGTAAATTCAAACTGCCTACCTTTAGGTAGCACAGCTCCTTACCGCCAGGCCACCAGAGCTCCCTTGACATATACTGGAAGCTTTTCTTTTCAGGATGTGGATCTTGGAGGATCCTAAACTTGTCTTCCTTCTCAACAACCCCCTATTTTGTCCATGTGATCCTGACTCAGAGTTACAGCACTTTTACAGTACTTGAAAAGTTTAGAACAATTTGTTAACTAAATATGAGAACCCTGTTCTGTGCAAGGAGAAAGGTTTTATGCCACAAGGATCTTATAACAATGGATAGAGGACTGAACATGTACCAGTGTTCTTCCAGAGTGTTTTCTACTCCAGCCTGTGTTTGAGAAATGAATCTGAGTTTTCATACAGGGCTCATCTGGTTCCCAGTTTCACTTTTGGAGAGACCGAGGTGTATGAGCAGGTGGTGTTTCCTAAGGACAGCCTGATGCACAAATTCCAGAACTGCTTCCGCCATATCTTTGGTTTCTATTTTTGTGTCTTCTATGGACGAAGCTTTTGCCAAGGCACCATTGGGCTCTTGCCATACTCTCGACCTATCGTCACTGTGGGTGAGTGCTGATCTTGGTTCCAAGGCCAACATGGTTCTTTCTCAACTTAAACTTGAGCCCTCCCTATCCCTGCCCCTAACATAGAGAAGAGTGTCAGAGCTACAGATTTAGGATATGAGAAGGTCAGGCAGAATGTGATAAGGTCAAATCCAGGAAAGGAAAAGGAAGTTAAAGGAAGGAGACTCTGATAATTTCCCTTTCTCATTTCCTATCTCCTCTTGCAGTTGGGGATCCTCTGCCACTCCCAAGAATTGAAAAGCCGAGTCAGAAGATAGTTGATAAATACCATGCACTCTATATGGAGGCCGTGCACAAACTGTTTGACCAGCATAAGACCCAATATGGCTGCTCAGAAGCACAAGAACTGGTTTTCCTGTGACAGATCAGGCTGCAAGTTCATCCTCCTCAAAGTCAGAGGGCCTACATTGAAGAAACTCATCTACCTGACAGCCAAAGAGAAATCTAGGAGGAGAAAGATGATGAAGGAGGACTATGGGGGAGGAAAGGGGAAAGGGAACATTAAGAATTTTCCTTGCCACAGAGCCTTTACAGGAGTTCTGCCTGAGGAATTTCACTCAGTGGTTCCTCCAGAAAGGGAAATCCTGAAAACTTTCATGCCCACATTGAGACATGCGCCTTGCCCTATTCCCTACTGCCTTTCCTATCTGAGACTGACACTTCAGGACAACTGAAAGACGTCAAATGATGACCAGGAAACTTGAATAACCACCACTGTGGGCTTTCTTTTTGTTTTTAGACCTCATAGTTTGTTTGTTGTGGGAATTTTTAGATATAATTTTAGTGCCATACATTTAAACCATTCAAAGTGTAAAATTCAGTGATGTTTATATATTCACTCATAGTAAATTTAACAATTATCATCACCTCCAAATTTGAGTACAAAGTAGCAGTTATTTCTGATTTCCCAGACCTTGGCAATCACTAATCTACTTTCTGTTTCTGTGGATTTTCCAATATGAGTATTTCATACAAATAGAATCATGTAATGCATAATTTTCTGTAACAGACTTTTTCCTTTAGCATAATGTGCTCAATGTTTATTCATGTTGTGCCATACATAGAATGTCCTTTCTTTAGGTTATCGTATGTGTGCAACACATTTTGTTTACACATTTGTTTGTCCAAGAATGGTTGAGTTGTTTTCCCCTTTGGGCAATGGTGAACATTTCTTCAATGAACATTGGTGTCCAGGTGTCAATTTGAGTCTTTCCTTTCAGTTTTTTTTAGTGTATACCTAGGAGTAGAATTTGTGGAATATAGTAGTTCTATGGTTAACTTTTAGAGAAATCACCAAATTATTTTCCACACGCACTACACCATTTTTAGTTTTCACCAGCAATACAAGAGAGTCTAAATTTCTCCACATCCTTAACAATGTTGTTATTGTTATATGCTGTCGAGTCGCCTGTGACTCATAGCAACCCTATGTACAACATCCCTATACTCTGCTCAACCCTGTGCCATTTTTATTGTCTCTGACACACCTACCCCCATTCCTCCAGTCGGTAAATCAATCCATCTCATGGAGGGTCTTCCTCTCTTGCACTATCCCTCCACCCTACCAAGCATGACGTCCCTCTCCAAGGACTGGTCCCACCTTGAAACATGTCCAAAGTATGTCAGATGAAATTTCAGAATCCTTGCCTCCAAGGAGCAGCCTGGTTTCACCCTCTCTAGGATGAACCTGTTTGTTCTCCTAAGAGTCCAAGGTATATTCAATACTTGTCTCTAGCACAACAGCTCAAAGGCATGAATTATTGTTCTGTCATCCCTAGTATTTTCCAGTTTTCTGATGCATAGCAAGTAATTGTAAAGACTATGGTCTGAATCAGGTGCACCTTAGTCTCCAGACTGACATCATTGCTCTTCAGTACTTTGTACAGGTCTCTGAGAACAGGCATTCCTAAGGCAATTCACCTTTTAATTTCCTGGCTGCTGGTACCAAGAGTGATTATTTTGGAGCCAAGCAAACTAAAGCTGTTAACAATCTCAATCTCTTCACCAGCTATTATAATGCTGCCTTATGGGCCCAGTGGTGAGAATCTTTGTTTTCTTGATGTTGTGCTTCAATACATATTGAATGCTGCAGTCCTTGACCTTCTGTAACAAGCACTTCAGATCCTCCTCAGTTTCAGCAAGCAGGGTTGTGTCATCTGCAAATTATTTTCTATTAATAAACATCCTAGTGGATGTGAAGTGGTATCTCATTGTGGATTCAATATGTATTTCCCTAATATGTACTGGTTGCTTGCATATATTAACTGGAGAAATATATATTAAACTCCTTTGCTCATTTTCCCCCACTTTGTCTTTTGCTGATGAGTTCTTATTGTTAGGTACTGTCAAGCTGAGTATGACTCATAGCAGTAGGAGCTCTTCTAAATTCTGTGTATTAAAACTTTATGGAATGCAAAACAACTATGAGACATCCTCTCACCCCAGTAAGAATAGCAAAATTTAACAGAGTAGCAAACAACAAATGTTGGCAAGGTTACAAAGAAACTGGAACCCTTTTTCACTGTTGGTGGGAGTGTAAAATGGTGCAATCACTATGGCACGCTGTATGGCACTTTTTCAAAAAGTTGCAAATAGAAATACCATTTGACCCAGCAATTCTTCTACTGGAAATATACCTTAAAGAGACCATAACAGACATTCAAGCAGATATATGCACATCTATGTTCATCGTGACTTTGTTCACAATAGCAAGGAGTTGGAAACAACCCAAGTGCCCATCAACAAATGAATGGATAGAAAAGCTCTGGTATATTCACACAATGGAATACTATGCTGCATTGAAAAACAAGGAACTCATGAAATATTACTCAAAATTGGTGACCCTGGAGGACATTATGCTGAGTGAAATATCTCAGTCACAAAGGGACAAATACTGCATAGTGCCACAGTCTAGAATGGGACTGACATCAAGGTTAGGGTGAGATTGAGAAAGATGGGATAAATAATGTATACTGCATTGAAACAGATGAGGGAGAAAACTGTTTAAAAGGGATATGTGATTAGGTATTTTTATAATGACAGCAGTCCAGAACGAAGCTTGCATAGTGGAGTGGACTTGGAGGGAGGGATTGTAAAACAATGAAAGAATTTTCCTTTTACTTTTCAAAGGGAAGAGTGTACTTGGAGGGGGAGTGGTTGGCAGGGAGAAAAGTGCAACAATGAATTAATGGAAATCCAAAGTATCTGTAAATTTTCATTAAAATTAATAATAATAATAATTTTAAAAAGAACCTATAATGTCACAAAAGAAGCAAGCTATTTCACACCCTACACAAGTGCAAAGCAAGATATCACCCCCAAAATGTGAGAGAGTATCAATGAATTTACTAAAGCCAGAAAGTCTGATGGAACTTTCTGACAAAGAATTTGAAAGAATAATGATTGAATATTTTTAATGGGTGAAAGACAAAATTCAAGAATTATAGAACACTGCAAGCAAAAACCAGGAGGAGCTTAAAAAAAAACAAACCAGAACAATGCAGATAAAACAATGAGGTGTTAGTGGCACTGGAAGAACAAGAAACCACTATCCGAAATATGAGGTCCTATGTTTCATATGCTGTCAACATGATGGAGGGACACATGAACAAAGTTGAACAGATGAACACAGAACCAGCAGAACAGAAGAGAGAATTTGCACCACTGATCAGCTAGAGCAAAAAGCAGAATCAAAAAGGAAAGAAGAAAACCTAAGAATAATGTGCGACACCATCAAGAGAAATAACATGTGCATCATTGGAATCCCAGAACAGGAAGAAGCAAGTAAAGACACCAAAAAAGTTGTGGAAGGATCACTAGAGGAAAACGTCCTAGGCATAATGAAGAATGAGAAAACATATATATTCAAGAAGCTTAGAGAACATCATATAGAATAGACCCCAAAAGAAAAACACCAATGGAAATCATAGTCAAATTTGCCAGAATCAAACATAAGGAGATAATTCTGAAAGCAGCAAGGGAGAAATAAAGAGTAACCTATAAGGGAGAGCAAATAAGTTTAAATGCTGATTTCTCAGCAGAAACCATGTGAGCAAGAAGACAGTGGAATGAAATATATAGAACACTTAAAGAACACAACTGTCAACCAAGAATACTGTACCCAGCAAAATTGTCCATTAAATATGAAGGAGAGATAAAGATATTCCCAGAAAAACAGAACTTAAAGGAGTTTGTAAAAACAAGATGAGCATTGCAGAAAAAACTGAGAGATGTCCTTCTTACAGAGGTGCCACAGAAAGCAGCATGAACTAAAGTAACTAGCAACACCAACAAAAAGAACTCAACAAAATGATAGGAATAAAAATCTACCTTTCAATAATCACACTGAATGTGAATGCTTTGAATGCACTATTGAAGAGAAAAAGAGTAGGATATTGGATAAAAAAATCCATCAATATGCTGTCTACAAAAGACACACCTGGAAAATGAAGATAAAGTAAGACTGAAAAGTAAAAGGATGGGGGAAAAATATACCAAGCAAATGGCAATCAGAAAAAAAGCAGAGTAGTGATATTAATCTCTAATAAAATAAATTTCAATGCAAAAACCATCACAATGGACAAGGAAGATAACTACTTAATGCTTAAAGGGTCAATAGCACAAGAGTACATAACAATAATAAATATCTATGTACCAAATAAAAGACCTGAAAAATATATAAAAGAAACATTAACAAAACTGAAAAAGGGAATAGACAACACTACTATACACTACTATAGTAGCTGGAGACTTCTACACACCACAATAAAAGATAGAACTACCAGAATGAAACTCAACAGAGATGCTGAAGACTTAATCCATACAATAAACCAACTTGACTTCATAGATATTTATAGGCTAAACCACCCCCTAAAAACACAGTATACCTTCTTCTCCAATGTGCATGGAACATTGTCCAGAATAGATCGCATTTTAGGTCACAAGGCAAGCATCAATAAATTAAAAAAACATAGAAATAATACAAAGCATTTTCTCAGACCACAATGCAACAAAATTGGAAATTAATAATAAGAGGATAAAGGAGAAAAAACCATACATTTGAAAGTTGAACATACACCTTGCATGAACATGAGTGGATACTAGAAAAAAATAAAAAAATCAAATTAAAAAGTTTCATGAAACCAATGACAATGAAAACACCACTTACCAAAACCTCTGGGAAACAGCCAAAGCAGTAATCAGAGGTCAATTTAAAGCAATAAGCAAACATATCAAAAGGCAGGGGGAAAAAAATGACCGTTTACTTTCTAACCCAACATCTCCAACAAATTGAAAAAAGAACAGTAAGAAAACCCAACACTCTCTAAAAAATTGAAATTATAAAAATTAGAGCAGAAATAC